CCTTAAAACCGGACGATTATTTTTACTATAATAAAAAAATATTTTCTCTGTCCCAAATCAAATTATTATTTTTATTATTTTCATTTATTTCACCTCAAGTTATCTATTTTTATTTTTTAAAAAATATTCATATATTAATACAAAAATACTCTTAGTTTTTACTTGAATTACAAATATACCAGTACACTTACAATTAAGTCAAAGAGCAAAAATAGTATTATTACAGTTACTTTATATATAAAGTCAAAGAACAAAAATTTACAAAATTATTGCATACTTCTACTAGCTAATAAAATATTATTATTTTTTAATCTATTATAGAACTCCAAAAAATCTAATTGAATTGTAACGGAGGAAGTAAATATTTTTAGTGGGACAAGAATAATAAAAAAATAATTTTCAACTGGGATAGAGGAATATTTAATATTCATTTCGTCCCACTTAAATTGTCCACTTTAGTTTAGACACGAAGTTTTAGGTATTGAGTAATTAATAAGTAATTAATAATTATATTACTAAAAATAATTATATATTAAAATTAAGATAACTAAATAGTTTACTTAAAATAAAAAATTATAAATAATGAATTTTAATATATGACTAAAGTGTATAATTATATTCTTCCGGAAAAGGAAATACAAATTATGTGAGACGAAATTAAAAAAAATAAATAAATAAATTAAGTGAGACAGAGTGACTAATATATATTTATACATATGTGTTTACTTAGAGTGTGTTCGGTTGAGAGATTTGGTCCAAATCTCACTATTCATCCAAAATTTTCCCCCCAAAAACATCAAATCAAACACCTATTTTTTATTTTTTATATTATACTAAAAATCAATTTTACATTCAAAACATCACATCATCACCTATTTATATCACATCATACAACTATTCAAATTCAAAATTTTTACTATTCAAATCCCAACTCAAAATCCAAACCCTCAAACAAACACACCCTTATAAGATTTTGTATTTGGTTTTATTATTTTAATTATTTTTTTAAAAAAACAACAACTTAAACACGAATTCTTTATTATTATATTATAGTAAAATTTAATTTTATATTTAAAATATTAAATGAATACATATTTATATCACATCAATTATTATTATTTAAATTTTTATTATTCAAAAATAAAATTTAAAACCAAAATCTTATAAATAAATGAACAGTTCAAACAAAAGCAATGGTTCATTAGTGCGTTGTTTTCTTGTTGAGGGCGTTGTAACTCCCAACGGTCGAGGCTATTTTTATTTATTTTATTTTATTTTATTGTATTTCTAGATTTGAAAATTTATTTAAGTAATAAATAATAAAATATTTTAATCTAATATTTTATAAATATATATTATAATATGTTTTTAATAAATAATATTAAAATATATGTATTTAAATTAAGGTCAAATATCTAAAACCAAAAATCTTAACCTTCGTCGGTTGTGTTTTCTGCGAAGTGTCCCTTTTCATTACCATCTCAATTTCTTCGTTTATTCCGCCATTAACAAACAATGAGTGACACTGTTTGATTTATTTGGTTGAAAGTTGAAATTTTAAATTTAAATTTTCAACAAGTAAAATTTTAATTTAAATATTTTATTTGACGTGATATAAATATAATTATATTAATATGAATTTTAATATAAGATTAATTTTTAATATAAAAAATATATTTAATTTAATATTTTTTTAAACATATTCTTTTCGTTTCGGTGCAAGATTGTCGTTTACTTTTTGCAAGTGAATTTTTGAATATTAGTATTATAATGAGTTGTAGTGAAAAAGACGAAAATGCCCCTATTGGTATTATGTAATATAAAAGTAATGATATTTGTGTAATATAGTGTTTAGAGCGTGTTTGACAATTAGTTGATAGTTGATAGTTGTTAGCTGTTAGCTGATTCAATTAGATGATAGCGGTTAGTTGATTCAATTAGCTGATTTGACTAGCTGATTCGATTAGCTGTTTGTATTAAAATGTTTGGTAAATCAATTGTTTGATATTAGCTGTTTATACGTAAAATGACAATCGAAGACATTTCTATTTTTTTTTTTTGTTTCTAATATATTTAATTATGTTCATTTGAATTTAAAAATTAAGAATGTTTAAAAAAATTTTATTATTAGTTATTGAAAATTGTAAAAGTGTTATAAAAATATTTATTTTTATTAACAGTTAATTTTTAAAAAATAATATATTTTTATTAAAATATATAAATAGTTTTTTCTATTGAAAATAATGTAAAATATAAAATAATAATTTTTTCGTGTATAAATTTATTATGTTAGTTATCGATTAGTTCATTATATTTATAATTTTCAATAAATTTAATTTATTTTTAGTATAAAATTTATATAATGTATTTTTAATATAAAAATAAATTAATAATATCTATATTTTCTATTTTATGTTGATTTTAATAAATTTATATATTTTACAATTAAAATTATTTTTATATAAAAATTAATTATTTTAAATTTATAAAATAAAACTATAATATAATAAAATATTCTAGTATAATTAATAAATTATCAAAATATATTTATTTGTGTAAAATGCATAATAAATTTTTAAGGGCATATAAGAAATAAAAATTTTTTTACAGAAAAAGTTATTTCAAAACGCTTGCTAAGTTAGCTTTTTGGGTCCAAAAAACTATTCGAAAAAGCTAATTTACCAAACAACTAAAAGCTCTTCGAAAAGCTATTTGCTAAATACCCCATAAGTTAGAAGGGTATATCTTATATTAAATAGGTAATACAATTACTAAATTAATAAATTATAACTTTATTTTAGGATAGACGATGGAAAATGACAATCTTTCGATTCAAACCTCCTAATCAAACATACACTTCCTTGGTTGTAATTTGAATAATAATTTTAAATTAAAATCACAACAAAATAGTATATATAATTAAAATAAATTAAAAATATATGTTCAATTATTTTAATAAAAATATATCAATAAATATATAAATTAAAAATATTATTTTTTATAAAATTAATTTTATGTAATATAAATAAATCAATATTTTATACATCATCCGACAGAATGATAGACTTGTTTTAGTAATTTTGTAATTCAAGGATAATAGTTTCATTATTATAAATAATTATATCATCATAAAATTATTTATATCTTTTATATTATTACTATACAAATATTATTAATTTTTGCACTTAAATTAAAATACATTAATAAGGAAAAAAATTTATCGTATTACTCCATTCGTTCAATTAATAAGTAAATATTTCTTTTTTTGCGATATTTTTAAAATAATAAAATTTTAATTGTAGTTGATAGTTAAAAATTATATAAAGACAATTTTACTTTTTATTTTTTGATAAAAAAATAGTGATATGATGGTAAAATAAGAATATTTATAAAAACAAATATTTATGATAATAGTTACTTTGTAATTGGATGACTATATATATATTGTGAATGGACGAAAGAAATATAATATATTAAAAATTAATTTTATATTCAAAATGAACATTAATATTTATTTATATTGTATCAAAATAATTATTCAAATTCAAATTTTTATTCCATATGTTCCAACTCAAAGTACTATTTTTATTATTTTCATCCGTCTCATTTCAAAGTATCTATTTTATATTTTAGAAAAATATAATCATACACTAATACAAAAATACTTCACTTTTTACTTAAATTACAAACATATTATTACACGTACAATTACTTTAAACATAAAGCTAAAGGATAAAAATGTCAAAAACCGTTACACACTTCCACTGACTAATAAAATATTATTAATCCTTTCGTCCCATAAGAATAGTACCATGAGTTTTTTGCATGTTGATATTTGAATATTAATTATTATATCAACACGTAATACAAATAAAAAAAATGACAAAATTACCTATATTACTCTCTTATAATACAAATACAATAACATTTGTATAATAAATTATATAAATATAAAAATATCTTTAATGTTAAGAACAATGATGCAAAAGATAAATGCTGCTCTTCTTATGAGACGAATGTAATATTATTTTTAAATTTACTATAAAATTTGAAAAGGTCATTTGAATTGAAACAAAGGAAGTAATTCTTCCGTTCCAAAATAATAGTCTTATTTTTATTTTGTTTGTTCCAAAATAATAATCTCATTTCTATTTTTGGTAACAAATTATACAAATATAAAAGTATTTTTAATGTTAAATATAATGACGCAAAAGGTAAATGTGACAAAGTATAAATCAGACGCATTTTGGTCTTTTAAAAATACTTTTACACCACATCCACAATCAATATAATACTATTATTTCTTAATTTCAATGTAAAAAAAAAATGTTTGTATTACTCCATCTGTCTCATAACTATGTATCTATTTGTTTTTTGCACGGGGTTTTAGAAATATTAGTATTATATTGGGATGTAGTAGGAATAAAGTAGAAATGATTAAAATAATCTTATTAGTATTGTGTGATATAAATGTAATGACATTTGTGTAATATATTGTTAATTGTAAGGGTATTTGTAATGTTAAGTACATAGTACAATTACTAAAAAAAGAAATGAATACTTTGTTATGAGATTGACTAAAATGAAAAAAATGGATAGTTTGTTATGAGACAGAGGGAGTATTTTATAGCATATGAAATACTCCCTCCGTCCTTTAGATATAGTCTTAATTGAGTTGAACACGTGATTTAAGGAATATTGATATTATATTGATAGTTGCTAAAAAAAAATGGATAAAAGATTTTTTTGCCCATGTGAATGTATTAGTGTAAAAAATAGTGGCAATTTTGTAATAAAAATGAAAAATAATGATAATTTTATGATGATATGATTATTTATGAAAATAAGATTATTATTTTGGAAAAAAAAAAATGGTAAACAATACTTAAACTAACACCCCCCTCCCCCCACCATGTATATTTAACCAAACACACCCTAAGAAGGCCATCCCTCCCCTTTCTCTCTCATGTAATAGATTTTTTTTTTATTTTTTTATTTTTTTATTCGTATAATCCATCTTTGTTGCAATCACAAGTCACCATTATTTTATTACCGTTCTTCCCTTTTTCAGCTTCTTACTTGAACTAAACTTTGCGTTCTTCTTCTTCCCTGGTTTTCTCCATTTCTTCATAAAATTCCAATCTTTCCATTCATTTCAATTTCATAAAGAAAACAAAAAATTTAAAAGAAAATGCTGTTTTTCTTGGTTTCTTTCCTCTCATTTCTTCTGCTTCTGCTGAAGCCACAGCAAAGTTCAAAATCAATGTCGAATTTGTGGGAATCACTGAAGAAATTGGGCGTTTTGGTAACCAGAAAAAGGCCAAGATTAGGGTTTCTTGAGGAGAGAGAAAGCAATTATGATGATGAGAGAGAAGAAGAAAAGAAAGGGTTTTGTCTTGTGGATCTGCCTGATTTGGCTCTGGATTCGATTCTGGAGAAGCTTCCGCCATTGGAGCTCTGGAGAATGTGTGGCGTGTGCAGATTGATGAGAGAGAAAGGCAAAAGTGAGCACTTGTGGGAGAAGCATTTGCAGCAGAAATGGGGAGGTCTCATTAATGGCGATTCTTACAAGGAGTGGATGAGATCACAAGCTGTTGTCCCTACCACCTCTAGAGTGAGAAAGGGCGGGTTTCTCTCTCCTCTGATGTCCATTTTCGGCCACAGATTAGATCATAATAATAATGATGATGAAGATCACAGAAGCTGTTCTTCTTTCTCTCTCATGAACTTCTACTTGTCTCTTGAATCTGGAAAGTTTTGGTTCCCAGCACAGGTCTTTAACAGAGAAGTAAGTATTTTTATTTTATTTTTTTAAGGAAAAAAAAAAAAGATTATTGAAATATGATGATGAATTGATTTGAAATTTATGCAATTGAAACAATCAAGAACTGATTTTTATTTATTTAATTTTTAATTTTTTACCAAATTAATTGACAGAATGGTCATGTTGGATTTATGCTGTCATGTTATGATGCCAAGCTGAGTTATGATTCAACAAGGGACAAATTTGTTGCTAGGTAAGCCAATTTTTGTCGATTTTGATTTTGATTTTGATTTTGATTCTAATAATAATACTTCATTCCTCTCGTAACAAAATATCTATTTTGGTCTGTCTCGTAACAAAATATTTATTTATTTATTATTATTATTTTTTAAATAAATGTACTATCTATCTTATATTACAAATACCCTTACAATTTTCAATATATTACACAAATACCATTATTTTTATATCACACCGTACTAATAAGGTCATTTTAGTCATTTCTATTTTATTCCTACTATATCCAAATATAATACTAATATTTTTAAAACCCTGTCCAAAAAGCAAATAGATACATAGTTATGAGACGGAGGGAACAATTATTATAATGTATTCATTGGATGTCATATTTTGTAAAAGAAATTTACAAAAAATTTATTTGGAATTGTAATTGTTGTATAGTTTTAGTTTTTTTTTTTTTTTGTTAGTTATTCTATTGTTATGTTATATTTTGTGAGAAAAAATATAAATTTTTATGTGGAATCGTAATTATTATATAGTTAAAAGAGCGTGCTTTGGTTCTTGAATTTTCAATTTTTTATTTTTTAATTTTTATAGGTATCCCGCCCGGGGATACTTATAAAAATATAAATTTTTACGTGAAATCGTAATTATTGCGTAGTTAAAAGGGCGTATTTTGCTTCTTGAATTTTCAATTCTTTTTTAATTTTTAATTTTTTTTTATTTTTAGGTATCCGGCGCGGGGTAGAACTGTAATTGAGGAAGGGATCGAATGGGATCGGATAAGGGCGCCGAGCGTCAACACCCCTCCGAATGTTCTTCACATTTCCAAGTGTTTGGACAACCTTAAACCCGGCGATCACATCGAAATTCAATGGAGGAAAAACAAAGAGTTCCCATATGGTAATACATTCTTTTCTATTACATAAAATGTCGTACTAAGTTGGTGTCAATTTTAGTAAATTTTTGGCGTAAAAAATAGCGCCAATATAATATACTAAAATTGGTACCAAATTTGAACTGTCTTTTGCGCCAAAATGACTTTCACGAAATTGTGCTGATTATATGCCAAGAGAATGCACCTTTTAATTTTGCCTTAAATAATAGTAATATAAATCTCTTTTTTTTTATAAGAAAAATAAAAATAAATAAATAAATCACATTATGCTTCTTATATTTTATTATGTGTATTTGTATTTTAGATTTCAATATTTTTTAAATGAAATAGTATATATATATATGATGTTTTTTATATGAAATATTGAACTCCATTTACATAGAAACTTTTAAAATTTTTTGATATGAGTATAACAAAATTTTGTGAGAAAAAGAAAATATATATTTAATGTAATTTTTTTTCAAAAAAAAATTATTAATAAATAGTATGAAAATTTCTAGAAGTGTAACACAAAAAATGGGGGAAAAAAAGGGTTGCATTTTTGCAATATATGGCTCTGTTACAATATATATTTGAAATCTTTGTTACTATTATTCATCAACATCTATTTTATTTTTTTTCAAAGAAAATATCATATTAAATATTTTTTTTTTATAAATATTACATTAACTATATTTATATTTTTTACATTATTCTTAAAATTTTATAATTCTGTATACATAGAATTTATATTTTTGGGGTGGGGTGGGGTGGGGTGTTATTGGTGGGAAGATACATCCTAGCTGTCGTAATTAATGGGCTTTATTTTTTAATTTTTATTTTTTTAAAAATAAATAATTATTATTTTAATTAGTTGATTTAATGAAATGTAGGTTGGTGGTATGGAATTGTTGGGCATCTTGACTCTTGTGGTCGAAATTCTTTGGATTTCAATTTCAATTGCCTTTGTCACACCAATGGTAAGTAGTAATTAATTGACACACCTCACACACATGTGCAATTTATTTATGCATATACTTTTGTTATTATTTATCTATTGTTTTAAAAATATCATAATAAATATATATATATATATTAATTAAATATCGTACTAAATACTATTTCCTCCGTACCAATACAACAGTCTTGTTTACCATTTGTGTCCGTTCCAAAATAATAGTCTTATTTCCATAAATAACTATATCATCATAAAATTATTCATATTTTTTCATTTTTATTACGTAATTGTCATTACTTTTTACATTAATGCACTCACAAGGGTAAAAAAATCTTTTATTCATATTTTTTACCCACTAATAATATAATATCAATATTCCTTAAATTCTGTGTCCAACCTAATTAAGACTATATTTATGGGACGGAGGGGGTATTATTCTTTTCGTCCTATATAAAGTGTTAAGTATTTTCCGTCCGGCTACATAATTTTTCCTTTTTTTGTTTTTAGAAAATAATTATACACTTAAATCATTTTTTAAATTTTACTATCTATAATTTTTTTTAGTTTTAATTAAATTATTTAGTAATATTATTTTTCATCTCTAATTAACTATAATAAATAAATACATCTCTATTAGTATCATGTACTACTATAATATAAATATAATAATATTTATGTAAATAGTATATTGTAAATTATAAGATTATTTACAAACATTAAATATACAGTATAATTATTAAAAAAAATAATTGTATAAAAAAATACTGAATATGTAGATTTTGATTTGAAATCATGAACAAGCACGCCATTTCTTAAGCTTTTGTTCAAAATTTTAACATAATATCAGAACCTCAGAAGCAAATTAACTATCGGTTAAAAAGTGATCATTTAACATTGTATCTAATTTTTGTCGCTGTAAATTTTCTATGAATAAATAAAAAAAACGTCGCGTGATTTGCAGAAACGGTGGTTTTGGAGTTCAAGCAATACAGCGCGGGATCACGGTGGAGGAGAGTGACGGTGGAGCGCAAAGATCACCGGGAAATTGGGAACGAGACTGACGGATTTTACGGCGGAATCCGAATGCTTTGTAGAGAAGAGGAAATTGCTAAATGGAAACATTTTTTCCCAAAATGTACAATCGAATGAATTGAACTGACCTGAATCGAATCGAATTTGTGTAACTTAGGAAATCAGATGAGATCAGGCTTTGTATGTTTTTTTGGTGCATCCTTTTTGATGAGGATGCTTAAGCCTGTTTAGCTTTTTCTTATTTTTTTTTTAAAAAATATATATTCTCTTCGGGTCATAATTAAGTATTCATTTACTTTTTGCGTATTAATCTTTGAATATTAATTATTATATCAAAACATATTACAATCAAGGAAAAATTGTAAAAATATTGCTATTAGTGTCTTATAATACTAATATAATGACATTTATATAAATAATTATACAAATATAAAAATATTTTTAACGTTAAGTACAATGACGCAAAAGGTAAATGAATATCTTCTTATGGGACGGATAGAGTATATATTTTTATTTACCCTTTATTTAAATAAATTAATTTTAAAATTTGATTGTAATGAATATTACAAGTGTCGTGTTTGGATTTTGAGTTTGAGATTTAAATAGTAAAATATTTGAATCTGAATAGTTGTATGATGTGATATAAATATGTTTTGATTTAATATTTTAAATGTAAAATTAATTTTCAGTATAATATAAAAAATAAAAAATAAATATTTGATTTGATATTTTTTTGAGGAAAAATTTTGATGAATAGTGGAAGTTTGGGAAAGTCTCCCAAACAAACACACTCTTAGTATATTACTCCATCCGTCCCACCTTTTATGTCTTATTTAGTATAGATACGATAATTTAGATAAATTATAATTAGGGTAAACTGTTTTTTTAGTTCCGTAACTAACCCCTTTATCATTTTAGTCACGTAAGTGGAGCCTGTCGCAAACTAGTCCCATAAGTGAAGATTTTTCGCTATTTTAGTCCTCCGGCGCCGGAGACGCCCGCGTGGCTCATCAGACCTGGCGGACACGTGGATTTTATTATTTTATTTCATTTTTTTATATATTTTTAAAATTTTATTTTTAATTTTATTTGTCTTTTTAAATTTTTTTAAGATAAACTATTTTTTTAATCCCATAACTGGACCCCCTTATCATTTTAGTCCTGTAAGTGGAGCATGTCGCAAACTAGTCCTATAAGTGAAAAATTTTCGTTGTTTTAGTCCTCCGGCGCCGGAGACGCCCGTGTGGCTCGCCGGAGGTGACGTGTCCACCAAGTGTCGCTGACCTGGCGGACACGTGTATTTTTTTTATTATTATTATTTTTAAATTTATTTTTAATTTTATTTGTATTTTTTTATTTGGTCCAATTAAAAAAAAAAGTAAATCCACGTGTCCACCAGGTGTTGCTGACATGGCGGACACGTCACCTCCGGCGAGCCACGCGGGCGTCTCTGGCGCCGGAAGACTAAAACAACGAAAAACTTTCACTTATGGGACTAATTTGCGACATGCTCCACTTACGGAACTAAAATGATAAAGGGGTCCAGTTACGGGACTAAAAAAACAGTTTACCCATTTTTTTTTTATTTGGTCCAATTGAAAAAAAATTAAAAAAAAAAATAAAATACACGTGTCCGCCAGGTGTCGCTGACCTGGCGGGACACCCGGCGGACACGTGGCTTCCGGCGAGCCACGCGGGCGATTCCGGCGCCGGAAGACTAAAACAACAAAATTTTTTCATTTATGGAATTAGTTTGCGACAGACTCCACTTACGGAACTAAAATGACAAGGAAGTTCAATTACGAAACTAAAAAAATAGTTTACCCTTATAATTAATAAGTAATTAAGAAGTGTATTAGTAAAAATAATTATTATATAATAAAATTAATTATAAATTAAGATAAAGATAATCAAATAGTATAATTAAGATTAAAAAAATTATAAATTATGAAATATAAAATGTGATTAAAATGTATAGTTATATTTCTTAGAAAAAAATGACAAATAGGTTGAGACGAACAGAAATAGAAATAATGGACGAAAAATGTGGGATGAAGGGAGTAAAAAGTAATAGAATTTTATTGATTAGTAGAAGTGTGTAAGAAGTTTTAATATTTAGTAATTATATGTCAGAGATGTAAGAATTAAAGTATTTTAAATACTTTAGAGTGAAACAAACAAAACTAATAAAAAATACATTTTGACTCAAGACGTAGGGAGTATGATATATCTATTTTAAAAAGTCTAATACAAGTATTACTATATATATATATATATATATTTTTTTTTTCAATAAAGTGTGAAAGTTACTATATATATTTTTTATGTGACCAATATATATTTTTTCATATTTAACATAAAAAAGAATACTCGAAAACAAAAAACAAAGACATCCTATATATATCGGAAGTATTTTGTACTTTGTTTGTTTGCTTGCGGGATTTGAATTTGAATTTTGAATTTTAAATTCAATAGTTATTCGATGTACTCTTTGTCTCATATATTATGTCTCAGTACATTATAAATAAGATTTTTACAAGTGGCCTAATTAGTAAATAATTAAAATAAAAAAATTTAAAATATAATTAATGCATATATTTTTCTTAATACATCCTTTTAAATTATATTTCTAGAAAAGGTAGAAATTTAAAACATAAAAAATCCATTATTATTTAGCAGTTTGTCAGTACTTGGGCCTGGCCCAAGTGTATGACCATGACCTATTATAAATTTATAATTATCACTCATTTGGTTCTTCGTAATAGGTCGTAGTTATGGATATAAAAATTTAAGGGAAATATAATTAATAAATAATTAAAAATATATTAATAAAATTAATTAATTTAGTAAAAAATTAAAAAATATAAATTATAAAAATTAAAATATAATTAAAATATATATATTTTTTCAAAAAATAAAAGTAACATAAAATGTAAGATATATCAAAATGAAATATCCCTATAGTGCACATTATATATGGAACTCAAGGAGTATGTCGCATTTCTTTTTTGAGAGTTTTATTAAAAAAAACTTTAGAGTTGAGCGCGTTGAAAAAATTCGTGTTGACCTGAGGGTCAATCTAATTCCGATACGTTCGATTTTGCGCGGCTTGCAAGTCGAAATAAGAGTTTAAAATAATAATAATAATAATAATAATAATAATAATAATAATAATAATAATACATGCCAACTTGAACTTTAACTTATAACCGTAAAAAAAATAATAATAAAAAAAGTAAAAATTTATATTAAACTCTCGAAATCTCCGGATTTTGTTTGTCACGCATGGTGTGACTTATTTTATCGGATTTAATTTGCAGACTATTAGGGTCGATCGAATATTTATTCCGAATACATTAATCGAATAGTGCCGTTCCTAGGTAATAAAAAAAAATAAAAAATAAAAATATAACTAAATAGACCCATATTTGAGCCTTTGAGGTGATAATAAAAGTGTCTTCTAGTAAAGTATCCAAAATGTAGCATTTTAATTTTATAGAAAATTCACTCTACTTAACAATTGTTTTGTTAAAACATTTTATTTATTTTTTATTTTTTATAACTTTTGATTTAAAATCTAAATTTTTTTTTCTTTTTTTTACTTTACTTCAAAAGTATATTATGTGTGTTTATTTTGTTATTTTTTAATAGATGTACTTTTATATTAGATATTACTCTCTCCGTCCCACATAATTTGTTTTTATTTTCTATTTTCGTCCGTCCTACATAATTTGTCATTTTCTTTTTTGGAAAATTAATTATACACTTTAGTCATATTTTAAAATTTAAATTTTTTTTTTAATCTTAATTAAACTATTTAGTTGTCTTAATCTTAATCTATAATTATTTTTACTAAATAATAATTATTTTTAGTAATGCATTTCTTAATTATTTACTAATTATACTTTACCTAAATTCTCGTGTCTACCGTAATACACCCATATTATATGGGACGGAGGGAGTAGTAATTTAAAAGTGTTGAATTGTTTAACTTTTTATGAAAGTATAAAAATATATTTTATATTTCATCAGAAAAAAAGATTATTGGAGGAATAATTCAATAAAAACCAAAACCTCACTAACACATTTATGTTTATTTTTTTTACTTTTATTATCTTTATTTTTTTTTTATAACTTTTAATTATATTGTATCCTTCAAATTATCAAATTTCAATTAATTATTATTCGGTTACTTATTGCTATATCGATATGACTTCAATTAAAAATATATTATTAAAATTTAATAATCTTATTTTTAATTATATTTTATTATATAATCCATGAAACAAAAATTTGAGGTTTATAATTATACTCATTGCGTTGCTTAAACACATAAAAACAAAAACAAAAATACGCAAATAGGGATAAAAGCCCGAATACAAAATTAGAGGGACCCGAAGTAAAGGCCGGGCCGACCCGAACCCGATAAAGAATTCAATTGAAACCCAGGTAAAATTATATAGACGAAGAGGGGGAAGAGGAAGACTGTTCTTCGAAGGAGAAGGAGTATCGAGAGAAGGAATTCTGCGGAATCTGTTTTGGAAGATCGCAAGGATTATACGCATCGGAGGGCATATTCAATCGTTTGATTATTGAGGCGCGAGGAATTCGAGAATTGGTTGGTTGGTTCGCCCGGAAAATGAACGGCGGCCCATCTGGTTTCAGTACGGATTTCTTCTGCTTAATTTTTTCAAATGATTTGTTTGTTTTTCAATCGATTAGGGTTTATGCGAGCTCGATTTGTGTCGACAGATAATGCTCCGGTGACGAGGACGATTGTAATAGCCAGTGCACTTTTCACAATCATATTTGGGATCCAAGGTCGCTCCAGAAATCTAGCCTGGTCGTATCAGGTAATTTTGAACTGTTTCTTAATTTATTAGCTTGTTTTGCTTTGGATTCGGCTGAATTTGTTGTTTCTCTGAAATTCGATTGAAATATTGGTAGTGTGCTGTTCAATTTTGGTCTTTCTTAATCGCGTTTTAGTTGTAGCTTTCGATTAAATTCAATTTGTTTTGGGTAATGCAGTTTGATTGGATAGAATGAGAATTTGGTGTATATATATATATATATGTTTGTGTGACTTTTTTCCATTCAGTTTCTTTTATACATAGTGTTGATGAAAAATAAGTTGGTTAGAGTGATTGATTTTATGCAAGAGTTAGCATCGTTTTTGAGACTTTTGGTTTTCAAATTTGCATTTTTCTGCTATTGTGTTGGCTTCGATACAAGTATGGATTTGACTCAGTAGTCTATTGCCAAGGTGCCCTTGATTATGTATCGAGAAAGCTAATTTATTTTTGTTAAAATTTTCTTTGAAGTATTATTTTTATTTGTAAAAAATTCTGTGATTCCGGAAGCTGTTAGAAAATTGGTTGTTTTGATGACAAATACGGGGTTTTTTGTATGGTTCTCAATTTATATGAAATGCTGGAAATCAAGAACTTTTCCGTCGTGTTATTCTTAATTTGGTTCAATAAAGAGATGTATAAAAGTGAAGCATGGAAAGTCTGTCAGAATAGATGGTTAAGGAAATTGAATATTTTTGATGTATCCATTTAGAAGGAAAACTTTTGTTTTTTTTTCAGATTTATCTTTTTTAGTGTATATAGATATATACATATATATATTGTCCTCTTCATTGTCTATCTGTTTAGCGGCAGCTTTGAACCCGACTCTTTGTGACAGGACATTTTCAAGAAGCTCCAAATATGGAAGCTCATAGTTTCGCTTTTTGGCTTTTCATCAACCCCCGAACTAATTTTTGGAGTTTATCTGCTGTACTACTTCCGTGTGTTTGAGAGGCAGATAGGTTCTAATAAATACACGGTAACTCCTTGTTTGTGTGCATTTCTTCATTTTCCATTTCTTATGAATTATTATTGCAAATCCTATAGGCACCGTTATATGGATGTTAATAAAAACATTTTTACATTTGCAATATTATAGAAACTACTTCAATGAATATATATATATATATATAGGTCTTTTGAGGGTAAATTTAAGCCACTGATGTCCGGAAGTTAAATAATTATTCAGTTGACGGTGAAAACTGTAAAGGATTGATACATCATTAGTTTAAAGGTTAATACTCTACTGCAGAATCAGAATTACTGGTTTGGTTTCACCAAAGTTCTCTCGATTTTTAGTGAACACAGAGGAACTGATTTCAATGTTGGCTGGTAGAAATTGGAATGTTAAAGTTTTGAGCCATACGTCTACAATTTATTTTGTTACTTAAAAAAGATCTCTTGATTTCGATTCTTCTCATGCTGTCAAATTGCAGTAAAATTTAATAAATAACATCAAAAATTAATTATTTCTCCATCTCCCTCTTTGGTTCAGGTCTTTATTTTGTTTTCTATTATAGCCTCTGTACTGCTTGAAGTTATGGCACTCATGCTACTAAAAGGTACGATCGTTTTCTTTATTTCTTTGTTCCATTCTATGTAATGTGACAACATATTAATATCCCACATGGAATAAATTCGGCTGTCACATAATATTTTTTTTTTTTATTTTTCAATGTCACCTTATAAGGCGTGGTCCATAAAGTACACACCCACTGTGTGATATTTCGGCTTACATTGCATTTACTTCCATGTTTTTATTTTATTTTATTTATTTATTTTTCTCTCACGCTATGATCTCAATAACAAGCTTTTCTACTTGCAAAATTTACACATTCAGTTTGCAGTGGTCTTTGTATTATTATTGTTCAGTCTATTTCAAGTGCTTGACAGCAGGTGGAACATTCGATTTTTGCTTAATTCCATATATATATTTTTAATTCAAGTGGCTTGGATTAATTTTCTGACAGATCCCTCCTTGAAGATCCTCACTTCAGGACCCTACGGTCTTATATTTTCTTCATTTGTACCCTTCTTTTTCGACATTCCTGTTTCAACACGGTTTCGTACATTTGGCCTGAACTTCTCCGACAAGACTTTTATTTATTTAGCTGGACTTCAGGTAATCTGTTAGCACACGTCTCTGTCAATTCTTCTCTTTTTATGTTTATCAACATCTGGAAAATTTTCTGAATATTATTGTGTTTTTACTGCTTCGATGTTTTGCATATTGCTTCACCTTTAATGGGTGCTGCTTGGATCTTGCAGTTATTTCTGTCATCATGGAAAAGATCCATGCTGCCAGGGATTTGCGGCATTCTAGCAGGCTCTTTATATCGCTTGAATATTTTCCGCATACGGAGGATGAAGGTTGATACTAATCTTCTAGTTCATTGCATTCTCATACTCTACTATGACAATGAATCTTAAGCTATACATTTTTCTTTGATAATGCTATTAGTTTATGACGAACACTATAAACAAACATTCTGGGTAAAAAAACACACATGTTTCCTTGTTTTTTTTTTTTAGGATCCATTTACGAGGCTAGCTTCACAAGCTCATTTGCTTCTCCATAATTTTCATAGATAGATAAAAGTTACTCTGATTTATGTCGCTGGAATGAATTCTCTAAGCAATGCAAGAGATAATGTGGTTGAGTTGGATTTTCAAAATATGACGAGCACTATACACAAACATTTTATTTATTATTATTACTTTTTGGATCCATTTATGAGGATAAGTTTCAAAAGCTCCACTTGCTTCACCATAATTTTCATGGATAGATAAAAGTTACTCTGGATCTTTGTCGCTGGAGTGAATTTTCTAAAGATAGCTATTTCTGATCCGATTAAAACTGACTGGATGGTACTTACCTTACAGTTCCCGGATTTTATTGCTTCGTTCTTCTCAAGGCTTTCTTGGCCAACCACGGGGAGTACTACGCCTCCCCCTAGACCATCTAGGAACATTGTGGGGAATGCACCATCATATGGTGGCCGTCCAGTGGAGGTACTTTCTCTCTTCATATTTATGAATCAGAGACATTTACTAGCTACTTCGGGTTTGTCTCTTTAATTTCCTTTGCAAATGACACCTGAGGTCTCTTTTTACTTCCTTAATATTATCACATCTCCCCCCACCCTCCAAAATGCCCATTTACATTTTCCTTTTGATCAAGATAATATACAGAAGGAAAACCTTAAGTTGTCGTGGCTTAGGCCAACATATTTCTTTTTTCTCATGACTTTTTGACCTTGAACACAAATTATAAATTTTTTTAATTTATGAGATCCACAATTTTGTGAAAAAAAAAAAGGAAAATGAAATGCCTAGGAATTGAGTACTATGATTCAAATTTCAGGATAAGAAGGAATATTGTGTGTGTATATATATATACATATTAGATTAAATCGCAATTTTCCCTACGGATAAAAATGGCATCCGAGTCACCGGAGATGGATGCATCTCTTGCTTTCATGTTTTGTGTTGTACGGTTTTCGTTTAATTGTGGTACTTTTTCCGTAGTAACTAAATTCTATGCATGTGTACTGAAGTAGAACTCCTGAAGAACTACTGTATATATCATTTCTTCTTTCTATGCATCTAGAGTATCTAATTGTGTTTGGAGTGTTTTTGAATGTTTTGAGGTACTATTTCCGTCCAGTCTAAAAGGCACTCGTTTACTTTAGGTGTAGAGCTTAATCAATACTGTATTTTAATATTAGTTGGGTAGTACTTTTGTACGTAGATATTGTTTTGACCTTAATGTGTAAATTAATGTAATGGTATTGATGTAAATAAGTGTATGTTTGAAGGTATTTGTAATGTGTAGTAGAATTTATATTAAAAATGAAAATAGATATTGTGTTTGAAAACAGTACCGTAAGTTTCAATGTAGGGGGGTATTATTTATTTGAAATTCAAAAATGGAAATAGGCTTTAACTATATATATATATATATATATATTTTATCTTAGTTATGGAAAAGCGTGTAGTTAGTGCAAAAAGAGAAAATAACATTTTATGTTGAATTATCGATTCTTTACTAGTAGAGTATATATATATATATTGTATGAGTTTATGTATATATTGTATTGTTTAAATAGTATTAATCGAAAAGCATGTACTCCCAGTGACATTTGTTTTTTACATGTAGATTTTTGAATATTAGTATTATATTGGGTTGTAGTTAAAAGGACAACAATACCTCTATTAGTATTGTGTAATATAAAATTAATGACATTTGTGTAATATATTGTAAATTAGAAGGGTATTTATTATATTAGGTAGTAGTACTATTACTAAATTAGAAAAATTGACAAAAATGAAAAATGAAACTCTTTTTATGAGACGGAGGGAGTATTTTTTTGTGGTTGGGCGAACACACCCTTTTAGGGAAAAATCGGATAGTGCGGAAACAAGGGGTGTGTTTGTTTGGGGGTTTGGATTTTGAGTTGAGATTTGAATAGTAAAACATTTGAATTTGAATAGTTGTATGATGTGATATAAATATGATGTTTTGAATGTAAAATTGATTTTAGTATACTATAAAAAAATGAAAAATAGATGTTTGATTTGATGTTTTTTGGGAAAAAAAATGGGATGAACAGTGTATTTAAAAAAAAAACACACAAAAAATACATTTGCTTCTTTTTGCATATGTAACGATGATTCGAGGTTTCTCTCGTACAGGGACATTATCAAGCTCCGTATTCATCGACAGGGGAACCGCCGGAGGAGTCAATTGCTACTCTGGTCTCAATGGGGTTCGATAGAAATGCAGCTAGGCAAGCGCTTATACGCGCCAGGAACGACATGAACGCCGCCACCAACTTCCTACTTGAGTCGCAGGGGCATTGAGCAAAAAGTGAATCCGAGATCGAGGTAGGTAAAACTTGTTCTTGTTGTATCATCTCCTAATTGAGAGCCATTTTGGGGAGTTAGTCGTCGATCGGATTGGATTGGATTGTGACGGCGTTTGGTCTATGTTTTCGTCGTGTTTCTGTGTAGTGTTTTATTGCAGTAAAAATTATTACTGGAGGTTAATTCTGAATATTATAGGGAAGAGTAGAAAAGAGAAGGCTGTAAAACCTGAAGAAGGAGAAGAAGAAGAAGAAGAAGAAGCCATTTGTACAGTTGCTTCTTAAGCACTGTAACTTTTTTCTTGAAATATTGTGAGAGACTTTTTAGCACTTTTTTTTAAAAATGTTTATGATAGAATATGCCTTTTTTTTTTTTTTTTTTTAAACTAACATACATATATATATATATATATATATATATATAGAGGTGATTGCTGTGTGTTGAATTCACAGTGTTAACAGCTTAAAATGATATAAGAACACGTAGCACAAGATATATATATAGAGATAGATAACAATTGATTTATATTAACATAATATAAATATTACACATGATAGTACTTTATCATGCCTGCCTAATCAACTCAATAACCATATTTATATATATATATATATATATATGCATGCCAAATTCAGATCTTGTTCTTTTGGAATTTAATTCAAGCTTTTAGAAATCCTGTGTGATGTTTGCTTAGAGAAAAATAAAAAATAAAATTGGAAAATACAAATTCAAATAAAGAAAATATTGGTTAAAACAAACGGTGGCTTGCTATCTATTACTAATTCAAATTTATATTCATATATATTTTTAATTATTATTATCATCCAAAAAGATTTCTATATTTCTTTTTATAAAAAAAAATATCATTATTTTATCTTTTACTATAAAAAGAAATGTTCGTGCCCGATTGAATGGATTTAATTATAAACGACAAAGAGTAAATATTATAAAAACAGTACAAAAAGCTGTGACAAATATGTAAGACGAAACTACAACAGTTGATTGACACATTTTACACAAATTCGTGACCTTTAAATTATAAAACTAAAATAAAATCATTTATTAAGATCAAAATACATTCATCAACATATATATATATATATTACGTGCTACTACTGATTTCAGCACAATATATATATATATATATTTATACAACACACGCATAAATATCAACTAAGAGCACATGTTTTACAAAAAATAAATACATGTACTGATCGGGGCAAATCAACATTTCCAAATCAATAATATAACTATACCCTAAGGAAAGATATGGCTTCTTTTGTTTATGGCTTACTTCTTAGGAGCTTCGATTTCATGTAAGCCATCTTATTGGTTTCTGGTTTCCCGGTGTAGTTGTCAATATACTTTTCTAAGTATATATATACCTTGATCCTTACGATAGGAAAAAGAAAAAAAAAAAGAAAAAAAAAGAGATGACTATTCAACCAATAATAGGTTTCTTGGCTCGAAAAATGTTCTTCATGTCGAAAACTTAAAGTTTCATCTTCTATACTATCGCTTCAATTCCAAAATCGTACATATAAAAAAGGTTACACACACATACACACATTTGAAGCCGTAGTTCACAAAACAATCAAAAAATGAACTCAACCAGCCAAGTTTCCAGTCTAGCTATCAATTATATATATATATATATATATTCACTTAATATATACCAAAACAAAGTTGAGTCGAGTCGAGTTGGTTACCTTTACTGGCGGGTTCAGACAATGCAGATCCAGGCTGGGTAATGTATTGTATGAAGAAGCAGACCTGGTCGGAGTAGAGGGTGTGGAAGCAGTCCACCACATATTGGCGACAATTTTTTCGACCAAGAAAAGAAATACCGAAAGGTCAATTAGCATTTGTCTCCTTCCTTGGTGTAAATAGGTATCTGCCAGTTCTTGGTGTTCTTTTTAGGGTCGTCTGTTAGGCTGAGATCCGTGTCGTCTTCTTTGAAGGTTCTTATAAATGTTTTGGCTCCCATCATAATGAGCCTCTCGATAATGAATAATTGGTAGTTGTTTTCGATTAATGGATCTAAAATGCTGCTGTAGTTGGATGAATACGCCATTTTGTATCTGCAAATGACATGTGAGATTAAAGACAAAAGTTATTTTACATTCAAAACATTACATCAACATTTATTTATATCACATCAAACAACTATTCAAATTCAACATTTATTTATATCACATCAAACAACTATTCAAATTCAACTTTTTACTATTAAAAAATCCAAACCCACAAACAAACACACCCAAAAATTTTGTGAATGTTGTTCTCGCGATCTTGAACTTTGTCGACTTTTCAATATTTCTTTTGATTTCAGCCATTGAAATCGTCATAGAGATCGATGGAGACGACGAAATTTAAAATCGAGTTTGCACAGAGTAGAAAATGTTGACAAAGAAATATTAATATTTTAATATAAAAATAAAGTAAAAAAAAAATGAGAGTAATATAAAAAAAATGTATTAAAAAATAAAAAATAAAAAATTAGTATGATAAATAGAAAAAATAGTGAAAAAATAATTACTCCGTTGGAATTGGGTCGGTGTGGAGATTAAGAAAATGTATTTTATTTGATTTCGCCAAAATTAATAATAAGGTAAAATTAAAGAACGGACGGAAAAGTAAAAAAAAAAATAAAGAGTAAATTTAGCAGATGTAATCATCCCGGACGATATAAACTTTCATGAGTGTAAAAGTATGCGAATAGGTGAGATATACCTTACGGCCAAAGGCGCAAAGAAGCCCGGGGTCCTTTCATTGGATGCAATGAAAAGGGTTCGCCCGGGAGGAACCCATTTTGAGATTCTACAAAGAATAAACTCAGGGCGAGTATCTCTATCGAGACGAGGATGTAATGTTCTTGCAACCCCAAACCTGTCCTTCCTAGTTTTGATTTTATCACCTCGCCGAACATGGATAGCATCATAATCTCCGAGTAGGGCTTTAATCTATATTAACATACATCCAATGCGAGAGCATGGATTCAACGAAAAATCTACTTAATAGTAAGATCAATTGCAGAAGATAAGAAAACAGAAACAATACTCAAATATTTGAAACCAAAATATTCGATTCTTACATCTGATAAATGATCTTTAGTGAGACGGTAAAACAAGGAACCAACTATTTTTATATTAAAGTGAATGCAGAGATTACTGTTTACATACACTTTAGAAACTTTTCGATTATTTGTCAACGATAACATTTAAAAAAAAAAAAAAAATCACATCAAATATATTTTTTCCTCTCATAAAACATCATGTCAAATAGACTTTCTTTACTATTTTCAAAATTTTCAAAAACTCCAAAACTTCCAAAATTTCTGTCTAATCAGACCATTTTGTTTATTATTTTTCTCTATTCTGTCAAATCCATGACACGAAATGAGAAAATGGGATCTAACAACTAATATGATCAATGTATTTACCACTCAAATATTGAGCATAAAGCGCAGAATCCGTTGGAATACCCTATTGTTGATTAATCACAGAAATAAAAATAAAAAGTAAAAAGCAGATGAAAGTAGTATTACTAAGGGTAAATTAACAAAGCAATAAAATTTACCTTTTCTGCAGCATCTCGTAGTCTTTTTGCAGCCATTTTAGGAAGAAATGAATATGGCAACATAATAGAACTTCGGTCATTTCGATTCTTGCACTCCATGAACCTGAATGACTATCATGATTAGTACCTACACAAAAGCTACCAAGATTTCAAAAAATAATCTTAATTACGTGTTCTGGCAGGGAGTAAAACATTGCAAAGAAAATCAACGTAATGCATAAAACATTATCCAAAGACACAAGCATACAGATTAATTGCTATTCCGACAGTTTCTGTGAACTTAACAGACATCATTAAGAGAGTAGAAACCAGAAATGAGGTCGATGAAAATTTCCGGCATAAAAATTTACCAAGACAGGGGGCTTGCAGTTCGATTTATGAGTAAAAGGTTAGCATAGGAACTTTTCTCCTTGAGATCTACTCGACTAACTCCTTGCACATGTGCTACCCCTCGGGATCCCAATTTCATGCTTGTTGCCAAGACCTCGTGCCACCAGTTTGAATTATCCAAAATTGTAGGTACTGTATTTGAGATGAGATCCAAATCGTACAAAGAATCCATAGCACAGGAGTTAGTTGCCCACCTATCAACCAAATTCAAATCAAGACATGGAAAAATACATTTCCTACGATGGTCGGAGCATAACCAGACTAACAACAGCAATTGAGATAAAAGAACTTCAATTTTTGCAATCTCCAGAAAATGATTCCATCCGTATTAGCAAACAAAATTCTTATGTGCAATTGTTACTATGAAATACAACTATTGGAAATTCAAATACTACTAAAATCCAACTTTCTAGTGCAGATCTATATGAGTAACAGTTAATCAACAATACAAACTATGCTATCATCGAGCACCGGATTTAAAGTTCTTCATTCTAATAAAAAAAAATTCAATATTCTAAACTGTAGCATAAACTGACCTTTCCTCAGAAGCCATATTATCGGACTGATGAAGAATCCCTTTGTTATTGTGTATAGGATTTATGCACATTCTAGACGGCATCACAAAGGTCCTGAGATAAGATTTTAAAAAACAATAGAAAATAATTACGACAAAAGAGTATGAACATGGCAGGAGTGGCAATACAGCTCAAACAAGACATCCATCGACTACAGAAACATAAAAGTTATAAATTCTACTTTGCAAGACCCTAAGAAAAAAGATAAGGGTACAAAATCCTTCCCTCCCATCTTATCATTGATCTCTAAACTTATAATTTTCAAGTTGAAATAAGGCAATCGGGCTTGAAAATCCACAACCTCCTGTCCTGTATTGAGTGATAAGGATTGTTATCTCTTAACATCACATCTTTTTTGAAAACTTAGTTATGTCCTTAATAAAAATCCGACCCCCATTCAAACAAATAGTTTTTACCTAAGAAACTTCGTCTCCTACACAGCATACAAACACAGCAGATCTAATAAATCCATGGCATAATTCACCACTACATCCTGATTCTACAACACTGAATATTATGAAAGATGCAACTTCATTAGAGAAGATAAATGTTCCTCCTAAAATGGCACCTTAAACTAAATTAACTATCAATGATGTAATCCAAACTGAAAGATTCAATGAACAAACTCCAGTTGAACTTATCCAGCAATGCTAATCCTCCAAGCTCCTTTCTGGGGGTGGTTATTAGAAGAAATTAAACTCGTAACCCTAAAATTCATATTTCATTTCCAAACACTTACAGAACTCCAAAACAGTAACCAATGGGCGATTAAAGCTCGAGAATCAAAACCCTAACCTCAGAAACATACCTGCCGAGAAACATGGCTTCTTCGAGAGCGCACCGAAGGCTGGATTCCTGGTGCCCCAAACCCTCGCAGGAATCGCAGTGCTTTCCAGGACAATCAATCCGGGCGCCCCAATACAAGTACTTCTCGTGCATCGTGTGGCGATTGGCGGAGGCGTTGCCCAACTTCCTTATGGTTGATTGCGTGGAAAAGGAGAATCCATTCGTGGAAAGTAAAGATGTAAGGACGTATAGGAGCGCAATCAATGCAATTGAAGCGGTGAGAAGGAGGAATGGAGATCTAGGCTTCGCTGATTTTGCCTTTTGGAAGGATTTTGAGATCCGCATTGGCGTCAAGCTTCTTCTTCTTCTCCTTCTTTTTCTCTTCTGTGAATTTTTTGTTTCTTTGTTTCGCAGAACTGAAGTGAATGTGGATCGTGTCATTCGGGTCGGATCCTTAAATAATTTAAATTAATTAATAATGGGGCAAAATTCACTCAGTAACGTCACTTATTTATTTATGCCAATGATTTTTTATTTTTTTATATAACATATATAAATTAATTAAATTAAATTTTTATGGCTTGATATATTATTTTTTTAAAAAATATTAATATTTTAAAAAAAAATGTATTATACATATTTATTATTTTTATATTATTTATATAATTTTTTATATTATTACATACAAAAAAAATATTATTTCAGACTATTTAACAAAACAATATATTTTTGGATTCACTAAAAAACTATTTTATTTCTTTTTTTTTTTCTAATAAATAAATATTTTTATTCATATCTAAAGCTCCTTGATTTTAATAAATAATTTTTTAGTTTTTGTATTATATTAAATTTTATTTTTTTATAAAATAATATTTATATTGTATATATTCTTATTAATATATATTATTTAATATATTTAAATATATATTTGATCATATATATTACTAAAATATATTTTTATTATATACAATTTTTAAATAACTAATTATCACTATTTAAATTTTTGCATCTAAACAAAATAGGTCATTGGGATCGAAAAATTATTAATTTTTTATTTTAATAATATTAATAACAACCCTTATATAAGTAAATAACAGAAATGGAGTGAGATTTCCATAACTGAATTAATGGGTCTTGGTGCCAATCTAGTTTTGTTTTTGCGAAAATATTTGTTTAAAACTTAAATTTTAAGTTGAATTTTGAACGATAAAAATTTTAAATTGAAATAATTATATACTCCCTTCGTCTCACTTCTCATGTCCATTTTTTCATTTTCGTCCGTCTCACTTATTTTGTCACTTTTCTTTTTTTTTTTTAGAAAATAATTATACACTTTAATCTTATTTTTAAAAATTTAATTTTTAATTTTTTTAATTTTAATTATACTAATCAATTATCTTAATCTTAATCTATAATTATTTTTATTACACAATCATTATTTTCACTAATACATTTTTAATTATTTATTAATTATACCCCTCCTAAATTCTCGTGTCTACGGTAACATGATCAAATTATCCGGGACGGAGGAAGTAATATAATATAAATAAATATTGACATCATATTTTAAAAAATAAATATTTAATTTAATATTTATTATTTTTTTTTTTATAAATAGTAAAATTTTGTGAAAAATCTCATAAACATCAATTTGTTTTTTGCAATATTAATATATTATAGTGGAATGCTGTATGAATAAAATAAATTTAAAAAAAAACTAAAATATTTTTATGATATAAAAATAATGACATTTGTGTAATATATTGTAAATTGTAAAAATATTTTTAATATTAATAGAAATACAATTACTAAAAAAAAAAATATTTTGTAATAAGACGGATCAAAATAAAAAAATAAATAGATTGTTAAAGGACGAATTTGTTATGAGACAGGACTAATTAAAATAAAAAAAATTGATAGATGGTTAAAGCCAAAGAGAGTATATATATATTGATATATTGTTATTGAAATTCTGAATTTTCTTCGGGGCTTCGGCTTGAATTGGAAAGAGTAATTTTTCTTTAGCTATTTTCAAAATAGTACTCTCTTCGTCCAGCCACAGATGACCCTATTTTTTTTGGTACGACAAAAAATGACCCTTTTTTTTTTTATAAATTTATCAATTTTAAACATACTTAACAAATATAAATCAATTCTGCCTTTAAACTTATAATTCTAAAAATATTTAAAATATATAAAAAATAACAAAATATTATTATAACTTATTATTAATAAGTTAATAAGCTACGCTACCTAAAATACCGTGTCCGGGGAACGACGTGTCCCTAACAAAAATGATGTTTCGCAGGTCGGAAGTAGTATTTTGTAATGAACTCTAATTGTTAATCCCACTATCAACTTGCTCTTTCCATTTTATTTAATTAGTATTTCACATTAAACTCGTCAAATTAATAACACATTCACATATAACAGAACTAAAATAAATTAATATATTGAATAATAATATAATAAAATTATTTAAATTAAAAATATTAATATATAAAAATAATATTATATTACATTTAATTAATTCCAAAAGTACATATCATTTTTTATATCATAAAAGTAAAATAATCGTCCACAAAAATATTCTTTACATCCTCGACCGTGTTCGAACAAGCCCACACTTCCAAGGAGTGTTTTTGGCGTAAACACGGCCATGTTGTTAGTGAACAATGACTAAGTAAAGAGTCCTCGATAGATAGTATCTATGGACAAGCACACAATGCACCATAAGTGAACAATTTATTCGCCAACTATATAGTAGCATATATTAAGCATTTAAAATAAAGCATCGAGCAAATTCCATGTACCGATCGACAATTAGGTCTATAACCCCGACCAAAGATGATCCAGAATATGACAAAACTGAACATTAGAATTCTACAATCAAATTGCAGAAATTATAAAATCCATAACACATTTCTTATTCAAAGTGTGAAACTTATAAGAAGAATTAACTATGGTTCTAAACCCTTAACCGAAACCCATCAAAATCCGAGGAAAATTATTCTCTGTTTCCGATATTTCTAGCCAGCCATTTTAACTAATGAACATTAAGAATATAAATACCTAAATATATAAGCAACAATTCTATTATCAAACATTTATATGAGATCTCCTTGCATATACTATCAACCCCTAAGAATCTAAAAGCAAATCTTGATATGAACTCCCAAAATATTCAGTTCCTAAGTACATATCACATAACTTCACCAATACATTACTTACCCCTAAAAATCAGTTCCCTAAATCAGAAAAAAAAAAAACAAAAAAAAAAAAAACAAGATGCATAGGAATGATTGACTAAATTGATCCTTAAATACTTACGCCCATGAACAAGATTCACGAAAGATCGTGATCCTTAAATTCTTTCCGTAACAAGAAGCTACATCAGCATAAGTCATCATCCACTAGTATATATATAAACAGGATCACAATTTCTTTCATTGAATTTTAAATCAAGAAACTCAAATCAGCATAATGTCTCTGACAAGCATCTGTCAGACACAAAATTCGGATAAAACACAGAGAAAATCCAAATTATATGTTTGAAGACCCTAAAAAAAGGGCATAAGACCTAAAGTAGAAGTTAGGAATTAATCCAACTCGATTTAGCTTCTAGTTCATAAAAAAAAAAAAAAAATCAATTAGACAAACAAGATCAGCGTGTTGCCGCAAAACATGTTCTGATTTACCAAAAAGAAGATGGATTGTTCTTGTTCCATTTTTTAGAAACAACATAAAGCATAACATTAAATGGATCCTAGTTTCACCCACAAACAAAACACAATAGATAGAGAAATGGATAAACTGATTCAATTCTTTCAAGAAAAATTGCTGATAAAATTGCTATTTTCAAGACTATGAAACCAGGAAGGCCTGCTTAATCGACTGGAAAATTCAAACACTGCTTAAGTAATACAGCATAATTAAGATGATCCATGAAATGAAATTAACAAAATGCCTAATTATATGCCAAAGTAAACAAAAAGGAACCAAAACACACAAATATAAGCTAAAATCTCATTCAAAATAAACTGAAAACTCCACCGGCACTGAATAACAAGTTCTCGAAAATAAAGCAGAAATAAATAACAGAATTTAGAATTACTGCTTTGCTTTTTTTTTTTTGTCGGCTCGGCTCATAGCTCAGCTCAATCCTGCGGAATATCCACATCGCCGTCGGTAATCTCCTGCTGCAAATCCTTGGGATCCTTTCCATCAACAGTGCATCCAACGGAAACACAGGTGCCGAGAATCTCCTTAACGGTGCCAGACAAATCCTTCGCCATGGACCGCGGGCTCATAACCTTGGCGATCTCGATTACATCATCGAGCGAAATGTTGCCGCTGTGCTTGATGTTCTTAGTCTTCTTACGGTCGCGCTCCGGCTCCTTAAGTGCTTTGATAACCAATGCGGCAGCGGAGGGGACGACGGCGACCTTGGCCTGACGGTTTTGGACGGTGAGCTTCACCGTCACGCGGAGGCCCTTCCAATCCTTGGCGGTCTCCTTGGCAATGTCTTCACCGATTTTTTTGGGAGAGAGACCGAGAGGACCGATCTTCGGAGCGAGCGAACTGGCGGCGCCGACTTCGCCGCCGGTGACGCGGACGTAGACCTCGACGACCTGCGAGGGATCGAATTTCGGCGGCATTTTCAGAGATCCGGCGAGCTTAGAGACGGAAGGAAGGAAGGAAGGAAGGAAGGAAGGCTGATCGATCTGCTGTGCTGGAGGGTTTGTACTGTAATTTATAATTAGGGTTTTTCTGGGTGAAATGACTTATGTGTCCCTGAGTTTATTGGGCTGTGTTATGCCAGCCGGCCCAGAATATAAGTATAAACTATAACCGGCCCAATTAACTATTTCACTTTCCGGTCCAATATACCAACAAGAAGATGGAAGTCTTTCAATAATTATTTTATTAGCTATTTAGCTTATACATGCATTTTTAGTTATTGCTTAATTAATAAGTAATTAAGAAAATTATTAGTAAAAATAATTATAAATTAAGATTAAAATGACTAAATAGTTTAATTAAAAAAATTATAAATTTTAAATTTTAAAATATGATTAAAGTGTATAATTATATTTTCAAAAAAATTTATATAGAACCGACGAAAATAGAAATACGAGACAAATTAAGTGAGATGGATGAAGTATATTTTTTTTAAAATATGAGTAAAATTCTATTATTGAAAATTATACAAACTATTTTAGGACTGTTTTCAAGTTACAAAACCAAAATGATAAAAAAAATCAACTTAGAACACAAAAATATAGCAAAATAAATACATATGAAAATAGAATATTTTTTAAAAATTAAACGCAATCTTATTCACTTGAGCAGTAAGTCATTCCTACAAGTAGGGATGTAAAATGGGGCGGGTTGCCCGAGAACCCTCTCTTCATGGAACAGGTTCGTTCGGGTTTAAAAAATATATTTCGGGATGGATCGTAGATTTTAAATTTTAAATTTTAAATATAAAATAGAATCTTAATTCATAAATCAAATTTGTATTCACATTTGTTTCTTCTTCAATTCTCCGTATCGAGACTACTGTCATCGCTTCGCCTGTCACCGGCCGCAATTACTACGGACCATTGCTAACATTTGATTATTTTTGTTTTTTGAACTAAAATTTTGACTCGCTTCTGGTAGACACATTTGATTTTTCTTGTTCGCCAATATTGTTTAGATAAATTATATTTTTTTAAAAAGAAAAAATACCGAATTTACTGAATTAACCCCGAACCCAAAGTGTTCGGGATGAAGGCGAGTCTTGAGGCTGGACTGAAACGGGACTGGATCATGAGGCCTAATATTTTGTAACGGGTCAGGTCCGAGCTGAACCTACCCCGTTATATCCCCACCTACAGCCTACTCTAGACTGAGACAAGAAAGAGAAAAAAATACATTAGTAATATTTTTTATAACAATAATAATAATCATAATAATAATAATAATAATATCTATATATACATACATAATAAGTTGAAGTAGAAGTAGAACACATTTGAGATATCCAATTCTTCCATGGCTGTCTCTACACAATCACAATCTCACACATACTCACTTTCTCTCTCTACCTACCCACACAATCGCCGCCGCCGCCACCGCCGCCGCCGATCGAGGGCGGTCGACGACGGGTACCCTCATCCTGCCTGAGTCTCCCGGGCCTTCTGAAACGCTCTCGACGAAACCCCATGCACAAGTCTGACGAACCCCAAGAAGCTAAGTTTCCCGTCCGAGTGTCGAATCCAGTCTTGGAGTACAACGTGGACCGGAACCGACGGACTCAGCCCCAGCTCCTGTCCGAATTCAGACGATGTTTTTTTCGCAGTAAAATCAGACGACGATCTAATATGTGCAAACAATGTTGTTACGAGATAGAGTCGAGAGAATTGTACCGAGGCAAGTTCTTCGATCATAATCGGCCGGTTTCCGTCCTTCTCGAAGAAATCGTAAGCGCGGCGCGCGTGTTGCTCCCAGCTTTCCGTTCCTTCCAGCTGATGCACGCTGATCGCCGCCGCGCAAAATTCCTCGAAATCCAATTTCCCGTACTGAATCGAACTCACCTACACGCAAAACATTTTGATTTTGGTCCGAACAATTTGTAATAAAAATACATAATTTTCTCTTACAAAATATCACGTCAAAATACTATTTAATCCACTAACAAGGTAAACATTTCGGTTGCGTTCTTTTGTTAGTTTTTAACACAGGTTTTTTACTATTCAAATTCTTTTTCCCTCTAAAATTATCAAGTCAAACAATTACTTTTCTTTTTTTATATTATATTACAAATTTATTTTACATTAACATTACATCAATATCTATTTATATCACATCAAACAACGGTTCAAATTCAACTTTTTACTATTCATAAATTCAAACGCAAAACCACAAACAAATACACCCGAATCAATTTTTAGGGTGTGTTTGATTGGGGGATTTTCCCCAAAGTCTACTATTCATCAAATTTGTCTTTCAAAAAAATATCAAATCAAACACTTATTTTTTATTTTTTATATTATATTACAAATCAATTTTACATTCAAAATATCACATCAACATCTGTTTACATCATATCGTACAACTATTTCAATTCAAAATTTTTTGCATGCAAATCCCAACTTTAAATCCAAACCCAGGCAAACACAAATACATTTGACGGAATTATAGAAATACCTTCAATCTTACACTTATGAACACAACGGCAAAAAAAATCTTTACACAAAAATATACAACCAACTATAATTTTAAATACTCCATCTGTTTCAATACAATTAGTCTTTGTTTACCATTCTTATCCGTCACAAAAGAAGCCTCGTTTTCATAAATAATTATATCACCATAAAATTACAATTATTTTTTCATTATTATTCCACAAATGTCATTACTTTTTACACTAATATGTACAGAAGGGTAAAAAAATATTTTACTTATATTTTTTACCGACTACCAATATGATATCAATATTCCTTAAATCTCGTGTTCAATACAACTAAAATTATAGTTCTGAAATGGATGGAGCATTATTATAAATTTTTTTACTTTCGCGCAAAAAACAAATATATATATATTATAAGTGGCCTGAGCGAATACTATTTGAACCAAAACGCAAATAACGAACGGTGCATCTAATCGACATACATACCAAGCTGACATATTCCAAAACCCGCGAATCTTTCATCGCATCCGTCGAGCTCTTCACCATTGCCTGTGAAAAAAAATAAAAATAAAAATTATCAAACTACATACACGGAATATACGCGCGATTTTAGAGATAACGGAGACAGGACCGACCGATTTGAAGTTCTGTAGGGATATAAAACCATTTCTACTCGGTCCTAATAACGTAAACTGTTCCCGAAGATAGCTTAGCTGTGAAATCGTCAATGTTTTCGCAAGAGCCTGTCCGAAAGGCAAATTATGCAACATTAAAACGTAAACATTTGTCGAACAAGATATATATATATATATATATACATGTAGATACAAAACAAATACACACCTTTAAAGCCGCTTTTCGCAGAGAAGACGAGCATATATAAGCTCGCACGAGCTTACAAATTATTATATCGAGAGGGATTTTCATGTCACACGAACCGGCAAGCCACGGATGACCTACGAAAAAAAAAAATTAAAAAAATGCATCCAAGTATTATGAAACAATACGTAAATTAACCAAGTGATAATCGACGTAAAATAATTGCTTACTAAGAGCTTGTGCTGCCGTTAGTCGTTTACGGTAATCCTTGTTCAGCAATCTCTTCACAAAATCTATGGCTTCGGGAGACATCGAAGGCCACGGAGATTCGTCGAAGTTTGGGTCAGCCTTTAGAACGGCTCGGAAGATTCCGGACTCTGTCCGAGCCCAGAATGGTCGGCTTCCGCAAAGAAGTATATAAGCAATGACACCAATACTCCACATATCGGCCTCGGTTCCGTACGAGCGATGCAGAACTTCGGGGGCTACGTAGTAAGCACTTCCAACGATGTCGTTCAGCCTTTCATCTAACAAAACATCGAATTTATATGTCAATTGTAGAACTGGAAGTAGAGCTGTTAAACAGAGCCGAGCAAGCTCGAGTATATCTTGTCCAAGCTTGGCTCGAACTTGTTAACAGTACAAGCTCAGCTTGTTAACAATTCGAGTTAAAATAATGGCTCGAACTCGCCTCATTAGGTTCAAATTCAAGTTCGAACTCGAGCTCAAGTTCAAATTTGGCTTGACTTTTATACACATTTTTTAATATATAAATTAAATATATCCAATTTTATTCATAATTATTATCAAATTTTGATATGAAATTTTTTATACTCCTATATGATATTAATATATAAATAATATAAATATATTATCCCTAACGAGCTCGAGCTCGACTCGTTATAGAAAAAAATAATTTTCGAACTCAAATTCGGCTCATTTATCTTTACAAACAAGTCGAGTCAAGCTGTTAACGAGTCGGATCGTGAACTACTTTGTTCGTTTAACGGTTCTAACTAGGAGCAACGTGCCGAACTGTAAGCAATAGACTGAACCTGGCTTTACGTAATCCGAGAGTCCGAAATCAATGGCTTTCAGAGGTGCATACTCGTCCTTTGAAGTGAAGAGAAAGTTCTGGAAAAGTACATGAAATTCACATCGATTAGGGAACACAAGAAAACAAACATATTAACCATTTCTTATTAGGGAAATTAACCCTTTTACACTAGTAAAGATTAATTTACGCAACATGAATGAAATGGAAATATCTATATACTCTCACACCAAACAAACTTTGAATTTCGAACACGTAACATCACATCTAGTAACTTTGTAAGCATCCAAAATAGCGACCAAATGCAGAGAACTACGCTAGACTTTAACTTTGTAAAGCATAGCCGGCGAATGAAAGATGCTACTTTACAATAGCTTTGCCATAAAAAACGATCAATGGTCTCAACATCGAGCACGAAAATCGTGAGGTGGGGTGGGGTGGGGTATATTTGAGATTTAGTAGCTTCTACCTCGGGTTTTAGGTCACGATGGACAACACCTTGGAGGTGGCAGTACGCAACCACGCTTAGAATTTGTAACATTATCACTTTGGCATCTTCCTCGGAGTATTTGCCGCCCCTAAAGCAAGAGGGAAAAAAAAGAGTTAGGTGTGTTTCTTTTTGGTCTCTACACAATTTTTACATTTGAATTCATGCTTAAATAAAAATACTCTTACTTTTTGTGCAAAATTTAAGAAATAATAATATTTTAATTATAATGGGTAGTTAAAAGTTCAATGATAAAATAGAGATATTTGTTTGTGCAAAATTTAAGAAATAATAATATTTTAATTATAATGGGTAGTTAAAAGTTCAATGATAAAATAGAGATATTTGTAAAGAGAAGTAGAATGCATATTTACTAAAAATAAAATGATTACTTTGTAATTGAATAATCCAAAATAGTAAAATGTATATACAACCAAAAGAATTAAACATCATACCTAGAAAGTATCCGATCGAGTAATTCTCCGCCTTTACATAATCTGCATTAGGAGAATAGCGACAAGGTGAGATGCACAACTTAAAAATATTACACGCTGTCGTTTCCAAAAGTAGCACCCGAAATGTAAGATTCATGTGTCAATCTTGTCTTATTCGGACGATGGTTATTATCGATTACAGTAATAAATGCTTGGTGTCTTATTCTGACAATGGTTACTATCGATTACGGTAATAGATGCTTTGCCTAACATCTAAAAAATCTTTCGACAATGTGCGACGATAACATGTAGCATGCATTTTAAACGTGCTCGAAAGCTTAGGGTTAACTTTTGTCGAACTCAAAATCATAATTAATGACAAAAACCAAACTTACTCCATCACAACATATACATTGTCCTCATCCTCGTACGCATCATAAAATTGCACCAAGTTTTTGTGCCCCGTCAGCGCCCGCAATATCTTCACTTCTCTCCTGACATCTTCCACCGCAATTGCTGTCGTCATCTACACAAACTAACAAAATTCAATCCAAGAAGAAACCCAATTTTGGAAACTTCAAAAATGAAATTTTATCGATCATACGAAGAACAATGAGAACAATAACATCAATCCCTTAAAGCTATTTTGCAGATAAACAATCATACCAACAACACACAAGCAATCAAACTTCAAATTCGATCCATTCAAATCAAAACAATATCAAATTTGAACATCCCTCAAAGCTATTTTCAGATAAATGATCAAATCAACAACACACAAGTAATCCAAATTCGAATTCGATCAATTCAAAGAAACACAAACGAACTCAAACATCCCTTAAAGCTATTTGCAGATAAACGATCAAACCAACAACATAAAAGCAATCAAACTTCGAATTCGATCCATGCAAGTCGAAACACAAACGAATTCGAACACCAAAGAAAAATACGAAATCAATGATGAAACTAAACTTCTTCCTATCATCAATGGCAGCAAGAACAATAGCAACAGGCAAGCAAAACTGGAATCGCCATTAAAGCAATTTTTGGAGCATCAAAGGCAAAAAAACACGAAATCAATGATGAAACTAAACTTCTTCCAATCATCAATGGCAGCAAAAACAATAGCAACAGGCAAGCAAAACTGGAATCGCCATTAAAGCAATTTTCCGAGAATGAAGGCAAAAAAACACGAAATCAATGATGAAACTAAACTTGTTCCGATCATCAATGGCAGCAAGAACAATAGCAACAGGCAAGTAAAACTGTAATCGCCATTAAAGCAGACCTTCGATTTGGGGATAACTTTAACAGCTACATCCACCCCTTTCAAGCTGCCTCTCTTCCCCTTAGCCGAACAAGTGTAACCAAAATGTCCCCTCCCAACTTCCTCCTCGATTTCATAGTCTCTCGGAAAGCTCTTACAGTACCCAAAATTCTTATCCAATCCAACAATTTCGCACTCACTCCCTTCCGGTATGGTCGCCTCGTTCGGCTTCACAGAACCATGTCTCCTCGCAAGCAAAGCCTTAATATGCTTCGCCGGCGACGGCGGCGGAAAAGGACGCTTCAGAAACCGGAGAGGAGTCGACGGAACGCTGCTGGAGTTCGCCGGAGAGTTCCTGAAGAGCGGACTCGGACTGTAGAACGGAAATTTCGGCGTCTTCCCCGTCGAGTAATTGAGAACCGATTCGTTGATTTCGTCGGAGATTGGCTGGGGATTTCCGGCCGGATTTCGCCGGGATTCCGCCGGTTTTCCATGACAAAGCCCCATGGAAGAGTCAAAATGTTGAGAAAATCGAGGAAAACAGCGATTAGAAGTTCAAACCATTCCAGAAATTAGGGTTTATTCAAAAAGGGGATTCATCATCCATCCATCTATCAATCAATCATCAAAAGGGGAAAATCTTTAATTCATCTGAAATGATGAAAGATTTACAGACTTGGGAAGAGGAATCCGAGAAAAAACAAGACGATTGGCAAAAAGAAATTATAAGAATTGGGAACGAAGGATGAATAAATACTGAGAGCAGAGGAGAGGGGAAGAAAATCGAAAGGGGAGTGAGAAGAAGGCAATAAAAAAAAAGGGAAGAGCATAAAAGGGAGAAAAGATGCTTAGCAGAGGCTACAAGAAAAGAAAGGTGATCCCCACTTTCTTCGTCTTCCTCCTCCTGCTTTTTGGAGCTTTAGTTGGGCATTTTAATGGCGGATTGGAATTGTGTTTGGTTGCATCGATCATTGAAGGCAAATTGTAAATGTAATTGTAATTAATTGATGATGATGATGATGGAGGTGGGGTTAGATCGTTCCAGCCTGTCCGTTTCGAGACTGAGACTGAGACTGAGACTGAGAGGATAGGTTCTTGGATTAGGGTTTTTATTTTTTGGAAAAAGAAAATCAATGACTGATTTTGACTGAATTTGGGGATTTTGAATTTTAGGACATCGAGAAAATCAAATTTTTATTGCAGCTGATTTTCTAGCTTCCTTTGTTGCTTGTTGGCTGGCAATCCCCAGTAAAATTATGGGCGTATTTAATTGGTTAAAAAATATATATAGTACAAAAACAACTAGCTTCGTCCCTCCTATTTTGTTTTTATTGTAATTTTAAAAATATTAGTATTATATTAAGATATAATAAAAATAAAATAAAAATATTAAAATAATTTTATTAGTATGGTATGATATAAAGGTAATGATATTTGTATAATAATCTCTCCGTCCCAAGAGTATAGTGACGAGATTTAAGGAATATTGATATTATATTGGTAGTTGGTAAAAAGTAAAGATAAATGACTTTTTTGCGTTGGTATATTGGTGTAAAAAGTAATGTCAATCGTTAATAATAATTAAAAGTAATTATAGTTTTATGGTGATATCATTATTGTAAAATTGAGACTATTGTTGTGGAACGGACAAAAATAATAAACAAGTTTATGATGATATGATTATTTATGGAAATAGATATTTTGTTATGGAACATATTAAAATAAAAAAATAAATTATTTGTTATGGGACGAAAAAAATATCATCTTTATCTAATTTGTTTGTTAAAAGAAAATTATATAATTCTAAAATTTCATTTTACTTTGGTTCATATAATATTATAGTAAAAGAAATTCTCGTACTTACATGTGATGTTACAATTTCTATTTTCAATCATCTTAGTATTATGTTACTTCGTTTTTTGAGAAAAAATTATACTCTCTGTGTTCGCTTTAAGGGTCACATTTATTTTTTTGCTACTTAACATTAAAAATATCATTATATTTATATAATTTTTTGTACAAATGTCATTCTATTAATATTATAAGATACTAATTGAAGTATTTTTACAATTTTTCTTAATTTGTACTATTTTTTATATAATAATTAATATTTAAATATCAAGACGCAAAAAGTTAGAGCCAAACGGAGATAGTATATTTTAATAATATTTTAAATTTTATAATTTGTAATTTTTTTTAATCTTTACTAGATTAATTAATTATCTTAATATAAATTTATAATTAATTTTATTAATATATTTTTAATTATTTACTTATTATACAATTTCTAAATTTTCATATCTACTGTAATACGTAATACCTGGGAAGGAGGGAGTATGACATCAGCTCAAAATATTTTTATTTTTATCTCTTTTTAACTAAATTAAGTAAATTTCTAATATTTTATAGGTAGAATCAATTAAAATTCTTTTATTTTTATTTCTCTTCAATAAACAAATATTTTTATCTATATTTAAAATTCCTCATTTTTTTTTATAAAATTAATTTAGGTTAATCATAATTAAATAAACAAAATTTTATTCCCTATAAAAATAATATTCATATTATATACTTTTTTGTCCACTTAATAAGTTTACATTTTGCGTGTCATTGTACTTAACATTAAAAATATTTTTATATTTGTATAAATGTCATTTCTATTAGTATTATAAAACACTAACATAAGTATTTTTGGCATTTTTCCTTGATTAATACTATATATTTTGATATAATAATTAATATTCAAAATTAACACGCAAAAAACAAATATAAACTTTACAAGTTGATAGAAAAAGTATATTTTATTAAAATATAATATTTAAATACATATTTTTAAATATTTTAATTATATATATTAATTTTTATTTTAAAGATATCAAAATTATCAGTCATATAAAAAAATAATAAATTAATATCATAATATATTATCATTAATTTATTAAATTATATTTTTCTAAATACCGTTCTTAAACCAAACGTGTTGAGTGTTATGGAATGAAGGGAGCATCGAAACACTTATTTATATTCAAAATTTGTTTGTGTAGTATTTTTGTCTCAATTTTTTTTTTATGTGAAATATACAAAATTATTTTATTTTATAAAAAATAATATTTTTTTAAAAAAATAAAATATATATTATATATATTAAAAATCGTGTAAAAAAAATATTTGTGAGAACAAAACCTCAATTTTTTATTTATTTTTTTTTTTTTCACTTTCAAACCAGCCCACTCTCACCCTACTTGAGAGTTGATTGTACACATGCCTAGAATTTGTAGGTATTTAAGGGTGTATTTATTGAATTTTGATTTTTTTTATATATATTTTATATTATAAATATATATATATATACACACAGTGGCGGACCTGGAATTATATTCGATGAGGAGCTAATTTTAAAATTTATAAATATTTATTTGTTATCCGAAAAAATTATCATTCTGATTATTATATTTAAAAAAAAATAAATACAAATAACGAACTACAACAATAATAATTATTATACATTGTATTATAAATATTTCTTTTTGTATTCTTTTTATTCAGATAAAATATACAATTTTTCAGTATTTTTTTATTTATCCATTTTTTCTATATTATATATATTTATATAAAAATACATAAATTTTAATAAATAAATAAAAAAATTGGGGTGGGGTGGGAGCGGGCTGCAGCCCACCCTTGCCCCCACTTCCGTCCGCCCCTCTATATATATATATATATATTTTTTGTGTAATATTTTGATAAAAAAAAAAAAAATAGATATGGCAAGGTGTTTGCTTTTGCTTCTATTCTTTTGATTTCTAGTTTGATTTTTTCATTATATAATCATTGATATATTTTGTAAAACAATACACCATGTATTTACTAAATAAGTTTTCATTGATACAATTTTTTAATAAATAGTAAAACAAAATATAATATAAAAGCTATATAATATACTTCATTGGTCCGACTCTAAGTTTTATTTACTTTTTGTGTGTTAATCTTTAAATATTAATTATTATATAAAATGTAGTACAAATAAAAAAAATTGCAAAAATTTTTTTTATTAATGTCTTGTAATACTAATCGAATGACATTTGTACAAAAAATATATAAATATAAGGTTATTTTTAATATTAAGTACAATTACATAAAAAAAAATTAATGTGATCCTTAGATGGTGTGTTTGTTTAGGGGATTTTTCTCCAAATATACTATTCATCCTAATTTTTTTTTTTCAAAAACATCAAATTAAACATCTATTTTTCATTTTTTATATTATACTAAAAATTAATTTTACATTCAAAACATCACATCAACGCCTATTTATATCACATCATACAACTATTTAAATTCAAAATTTTTACTATTCAAATCCCAACTCAAAATCCAAATTCTCAAACAAACACACCCTATAGTATAATGTATTTACTTACAAAAAGTCCATAATTTAATGCAAATTATTATCTTCTTCGTCCACCAAATTTATATATATATATATATATATATTTGTATGGCTATGAAAAATATTCACTTTTCATTTATAACAAATAATTAAAAATACATATATACAACACATTTCTTAAAAAATACAATAATTACTTACATACTCAATTTATCAAAAAAATTCTTTTATTTCATTAGCTCACCCGTATAATCATCAAAATATATCTACTAAATATAATATTATATTTATTAAAATTCATATAAACCAAATGAACATATATTTGGTATATTTGGTGGATAAATAAAGTATTTTACAATGACACAAAATGATATAGAATTAAAATACAATATTAACATAGTAAGGATTTGTTTTCTTTTATTTGAATTTAAATATAAATATAAATAGTATTTTATTTTGATATTTATTAAATATATATTTATTTTAAATTTAAAATTATGTGAGCTAAATAACATTAATTTAAAGAGGGCGTGTTTGGCAATTAGCTGCTAGCTGATTCAATTAGTTGATAGTTGTTAGCTGATTCAATTAGCTGATTAGAATAGTTGTTTGTATTAAAATGTTTGGTAAAATAATTGTTTGATATTAGTTATTTATACGTAAAATGACAAATGAGGACATTTCTATTTTATTTTTGTTTCTAATATATTCAATTATGTTCTTTTGAGTTTAGAATGTTTAAAATTTTTTGTTATTAGTTATTGAAAATTGTAAAAGTGTTATAAAAGTATTTATTTTTATTACAATTAGATTTAAAAAATAATATATTTTTATTAAAATATATAAATAGTTTTTTCTATTAAAAATGATGTAAGATATAAAATAATAAATTTTTCGTGTATATATTTATTATGTTAGTTATCGATTAGTTCATTATATTTATAATTTTTAATAAATTAAATTTATTTAATTTATTTTTAGTATAAAATTTATATAATGTAATTTTAATATAAAAATAAATTATCAATATTTATATTTCTATTTTTTGTTGATTTTAATAAATTTATATATTTTACAATTAAAATAATTTTATATAAAAATTAATTATTTTAAATTTATAAAAATAAAACTATAATATAATAAAATATTATAATATAATTAATAAATAATCAAAATATATTTATTTGTGTAAAATGTATAATAAATTTTTAAGGGCTTATAAGGAATAAAAAAAAATTAATAGAAAAAGCTATTTCAAAACGCTGGCTAAATTAGCTTTTCAGAAATTAGCTTTTTGGATCCAAAAAACTATTCCAAAAAGCTAATTTACCAAACATCTAAATTAGCTTTTTGACTGGTCAAACAGCTAAAAGCTGTTCAATAAGCTAAAAGCTCTTCAAAAAGCTATTTGCCAAACACCCCCTTGGTCCCAATATAAAAAACTCATCAATTTTTGTCACAATATAAACAATTTCAATCAATTTTGGTCCAATTATAAACAATTTTTATCAATTTTGGTCCCACCGTTTAAAACTAACGGAAATTGCTGACGTAGACATGACGGAGGTGACGAGGCAGTTGACCTGGAAAGTATACGGCCATATAAAATTATACACGATCATGTTGTTACGGGGTCATGTATATTTCAGTGTATAATTATAGTCAT